TAGTGCATCGACCCAGAAAGCATCTCATACAAAAATCGGACGCCATGCAGTATTTCTGCAGGCCTTCCCAGACAATCAGCATCACAAGCACCCCAAAGGGATCCCTTGCCAGAAACGGGACCTAAAGATAATGTGTCAGATGGGTTGAATGAAGTAGCCGAGTGGACTGGGGAGAGGGTCCATGTCCAGGGCGAAGGCGACAGGATGTGCAGCACGATGTAGCAAGGAACCATTGTGGAGTGGAGAAGGTTTTGTGGGAGCTGGAAGATACAGAAGGGCTCACAGCATCAAAAGGTTGCTGCGGATTCGTCAGATCCTTAGCAAACTAGTACCACAGTGCCAACACAAAGAATAGCATGAGCATAAGGACCTTTTTCACAAAGCGATTCTTCACAAATGCACCGCAGGCGATGATTGTGGGCACCAGCCAGCTTGCATAGGTTTGCACAGGGGATGGTCAAGTGACTGAGACGGTGGGACCGCTGGCAAAGTTTCAGAAAGAAAGAACGGGAACAGACTAAGATTACTGATTTTACAACTTTGAAGACCATGAAATAATATGCTGTGTTTTACTGGAAATTTGAGTGGCTGGAATGGCACAGATGACAGCGAACACGGAGCACGAGGGCCATCAATATGGAAATTGAAGGCAGTTGTTATACCATGATTCGTGGGGTTTTCCCGGCGCCTCATGATATAGGGTCGGAGTCAAGCAGCGCATTCTTTATTCTTTCGAAAAGCTGGCCAAAGACTACGAGGCTGGGAGACAACGGAAAATGTTAGAATTAGGGAGCTGATTAGACTGCAAGCCTTTTTCCCCGCATCGCTCTATTATCTCAAGCTATCAAACAGTAGCCCATGACAGATACCTCTGCCTGAAGAGCTGCAATTTTATTTCAATGCTTTGGTCACAGAAGCCGTGGATGGGAGATATTCACAGAAAAAAATGGCACTTTGTGCTTGTTTGCGAAGAATGTATCCCTTAGAATTAATTGGTAGTTACGGTAGGGTAGAAAGCAGATTCGTAGTCTGTTAATTCGTTGCGAACCCACTCATCGATACAGAGCTTTGTATATTCCATTCCTAAATAGGTGCGGGCTGAAGAAAACGCGCCTGTAGCTGTTAGCCAAAGGATTCATCTACACTCTCCGAGAAAGCTTCCTCTCCAGCAAGGGGGTTCACTGAAAGCGTCTGCTCTCACCTTTTTAAAGTCTCCGAGGCCTGTCCTGAACTTTGTATAATCGCAGTGCAGCTATGCATCCAGATTACCCAAAGTTCAGGTTTGCTTTCTCCTCACTGTCTCCTGGAATGCTTTCACATTTTCACAGAAACTTCAGCCCGAGCCGGAAATGGACAGAGACAACTTGTCTGTGTCTTTGGCATGGCTTCTCGTTTGTCTTCGGTCCAGTTCAGCCTGGGTCAGAGCGTGCACATTGTAGAAGGCGCGTTGTAATTGTTTCAACAGATTGCTGTTCTTATTTCCTTGCTTTTTAAGCTTTCTGTCTTGGTTCCCTACAACTTTCGTCCGGCTCTGTGTTCAAACTGTTCAGTGTTCTACGAGGTAACAAAAGCCCATGTTGACACACGAGAGCAAACAGATAAGGGCTCGAAACGCACAGCAGTGCTTCAAGGAGAGGCTTTTGTTAGTGCTAATGTTGTCTTAGTAAAAGAAGGAGAGGGACAGGTGATAGCAATAGTGGGGTAGTGAAACAAAAGAGCACAACGAGAAAACAGGCGCTCCATAAAGCTAACTCCAGCTAAGCACCAGCGCAGGAAACCTGCAAAAACTTTGTCGAAGTTCCTGTGCAGCTTTTGGCCGCTGCTCGTGCCAAGATAGACAGACACTGCAGCTTTCTAATACAGGGCTAGCTCAACTAAGAACGACCACAGCCCCCTACTCTAGAAGTTTAATAAACCCGACTGGAGATCAACTCCGCACATAGCTTACAGTGATAAAGCCTGGCTCGTCTAGATAAAGAGACCACTCTGGACCCTTCTGCATTGCCGGCGTCGGCTTCCCTTAGACCCCTTAGCCTTCAGGGTTTAGGGTCTAGGGTTTTAGCTTTAGGGTTTAGGGTTTGAGGTAATTCGAAGACAGAACTCTTAAGCCTTCTCCGTCTTACGCGCTCGCCATAAACACGTAGATGTTTACTCTGCACTCCAGAGTTGTTTAGAACACACTAAGCAAGCTTTGATTGCTGCAAACTTTGCAGTTTGCTTTCCAGCTGCTCAAGCACAGTGTTCCCAGCTTTCTCCTTGCACATTTATCATGCCGGGCTATCTGTTTAAAAGCCTCTGACTTATCGTAGTCATGCAACTCAGAAAGAAAAATTCAAACTCCCAGATATGTACAGAGGAGAGCCGTTTAAAACCAGAAGGATATGGAGGTGCTTGAAAGCACTATTCATGACCCACGCTCTTTAAGAGCGACTAGGAACAGGACTGCGCCACTTCAAGTCTTGTCATAATAGGAAAAATCTCGTGCTTTTATTAACTTGCTGAACAAAACTCGAAAACTCTTGGCAGCCAAATGCTGTATTGAAGCCTGAGCATGGCTCACTGCTTCCACCCTTAATAACGGATTCTCGCAGCTTTTTAGTCAATAAAGTACCCCTTAGTAGCTTCTGGAAAATTCAGAAGATGAGAAATGAGTCATTTAGTCGGCCTCTCGCTGCGCGTTCTCTCTTCAGGGCTCGCTAGAGAGGCTGTAGTGCAGAGTGTAGAGAGGCCCGTGGGCTGGCCGCTAGAGGCGTACTCTATGAACTACTGAATGCATTCAGATATATTTGTGGGGTAATATGTGGACAGGCGTGCATGAGCACCACTTTATATGAAGTTAGCTTTTTCGGGGAAAGTCTAGCAGCCAAATTCATACACTCTGTGCCCCTGAAGATAGTTCATTTTTTAAGTGGCTTGGAGCCGCACACAGGCTGCCCTACAGTATCCTTCTTTCGAAAAATGCTGCAAACATGTTTTCGTATTTGCCCTTCTGATAATTAAGAATGTTTTCCTTGCTTAAGCCGCAGCACCTGGAAGAAGCCTGAGACGCGGCAGCATATTTGAGGCCTTACAAAGAAGCACACCTATTTCGTTTTCCGTTAACAGATAAAAACAAGGATTAAACAATTGATAAAGCTTGCTTCTGAACCAGTGGCACTTTGTTCTGCTATGGATTCGCCCGCAAGACAAAGTGTAAGGCAAGGCAGATAGATGGCAATAAGAAATACATGATAAATAGTCAACGCATATTTTTCGATGATTACGGGTGTGCCAATTTCACATATAGCTAGCATTGTTGCCCAGCAAAGACATAGCTGTGTCCGCATGCACAAAAGCACGATCCGCAGACATCCACAAGCTCAACGCACCGTGTAAGAGTGCAAAAATAAGGAGCAAAAATCAGGAGCAGCTAGAGCAGGAAATACCTGCTGTACATGTTGCACTGCAAGTGAGTGTTAAGGTGTTGAGCCTCAGGGAGCGAATCTATTCAGGAGTTTGTTGTCCTCTGCGTAGTGTACTGCTGCTTTCGGCTTGTAGAAAGCAGTGTTTGTGAACTTGGCAATTCGTTATGCTGGCTTCAGTAGCGCTTGAAAAGTGTGCAGCTTTAGCACCTATCAATTAAAGGCCTGACTGCCTATATGGGCTAACAGAATCCATGCAACCTGAGGTGATAAAGCTATGAATTTAAAAATCAGAATAGAGAAAGCCCTCACCCTCTGCTGGCCGCCCACCACGCTGGCTGCACAAGAGAAAGCCACAAAGCACGAAGAGGGGACCGGCGCAGCAGAAATGTTAAAAAAGGTTCTTCAATCGAGAAAGCAATTAAGGGGAAAAGACTCCTTTACAAGTTACCGAGGAACAACAACATACAGGGAAAGTTCATGCAGCACAGGAGCACGGCAGCCAGTAACAAGTTCAACTTTCTTGCATGAGCGTTGAAGGTGTGGGCAGTTCTTGCGGTTCGATCCTCGAAAAACTTTTCGCAAAAGGTTGCACTATGCGAAAACTAATTAGAGAGCTTTAAAGTAGAGTTAGCTGAGTCTCAGCGCTGAGTTACTGCTGCTGGTTGAGCCACTCTAGCTCCCCTAATGGTAAGTGCGCACAGGCGCAAGGCTGCTGGGTATTTAAGGCGCCTCTGGTGTCCTCAATGAGAGCTTCTGGCCCTCTTAAAACCTGTGCTGTTTGTTATGAAATGTCAAATTGAGATATCAGTGTAATGCGGGGCTTGAGTGAGACCAGCCAGCACGGGCTTGTGACTCAGTGCGGAAACCTGGAGCAGCGAATCGGGCTTATTAGGGGCTCTACGAGAAGAAAAAAGCAGCAAAAATAAAACTGCACAAATAAAACTCGAAACGTGCAGGGGAATAGCTAGAAGAACGAGTTAAGTCCACGAGCTCATTGGAATTCGATCTAGTGGGAGCACCTCAACGCTGTGCCACCCAGAGCCACGCCCAGCGACCCCCAAGACGGAGAGAAGATATAAATCAGTTGAAGAACCTACAAGCTCGGATATTAATTGGAAATATTAATTTTTTTGTTGTTATTGCAGCAGGAACGTGAACTGTGTATTTGCAAAGCCGGCAAAGGCTAGAAACAGCAGCAGCCGCCACGCAGGCAGTCACCAGTGGGTCTGGAAGCCTGTCTTGTCCATGGCTAGGCGAAGGAGTTATTCTTCAAATACAACTTCTCCTTGGCGTTTTAATTTGTTTTCAAATGCTTTTAAGAACCTTTCAGGACTTAAACTGCAGAAGAAGTGAGTCTGGAGCTTTCTTGCTGCTCCCGCTCGCCACGGAAGTCCTGCGACCGCCCGCGGTGTGTAGGCACTCTGTTGTTTTCTTCATTTTGGGCTTATCTCGCGTTCAAACTTCTTCTCAAAAGATTTAAATTCAATTTGAAACATCCGATTCCTTTTATTGTCTCAAGAATATTGCTGTCTGGCGCCGATTCAGCGCGGGTTGGTCCCGTCGAGTCCCGTGCTTCCCGCGGGTAGGAAGTTGAAGATGGAGTTGCTGCGGCTGCTTCTGTTCTTGTTTGCTGCTGCAGCAGCAGCAGCAGCAGCAGAGGAAGGGCGGGACTCGTCCGGTTCGCGGCCGGAGCCGTTGGCGTCGGGCGCGTCCGCGCTCAGCGACAGCAGCAGCTGCAGCAGCTGCAGCAGCAGCAGCAGCAGAAGCCGAATCCCCTGCAAAGCAGCCCCCGAAGACCCCCTCCACGGAGACTTGCCCCGCAGAAGTGTGGGCTATTACCTCCTCCGCAGAAGAGCCAAACGCAGCGAAAGGGAAAAGGGAAATATGCCTTCGTGGAAGCTGGTGGATCTCGAGCGCCTCGTCGCCCGCCTCAAGGGGGCTGCTGACAGCTCTGGGGCTTCGCCGCAGCCCGCTAGGGGGGACTGAAGCAGCAGCAGCAGCAGCAGCAGCAGCAGCAGCTGGTGCTGTTGCTTCGGCGGCGGCGGCTGCGGCTGCGGCTGCGGCTGCGGCCGCCTAGGGAGACTGAAGCAGCAGCAGCAGCAGCTGCTGCTGCTGCTGCAAGCGCCTATGGGAGAGTGAAGTAGCAGCAGCGGCAGCTGGTGCTGCTTCTGCGGCTGCTGCTGCAGCTGGAGCGGACAGGGGCCGCAGCAGCAGCAGCAGCAGCAGCAGCAGACGCTAACAGGGACTGCAGCAGCAGCGGACGCAGCAGGAAAGCTGCACAGCAGCGCATGCGGACCGAGGCGTCGTACATTTCTGGGCTGCTGCAGTCATGTGGATGCAGCGGCAAGTTGTTGGTGCTGCAGCAGCAAGTTGCTGCTGCAGCGGCAACGAATTGCTGCTGCGTTTGTGCCCCAGAGGCCCCAAATATATGGAGAAAAAAAGTCCTAGAAATTCTAATTGCGCGTGTTAGCTGCTGCTGCCGCCACCGCTGCTACTGCTGCTGCTGCTGCAGCAGCAGCTGTGCGGCTGTGGGGGGAGGCATGAGCACCAGTGGTTGGGGTGTACGTACATCTGGCGCCTTCGGGCGGCACGCAAAGATGGGAAAGGAAGCAGTTTGACCACTTTTAATTTTCCATCCTAAAGTGTCGTGGCCTTGGCTACCAGAAGTTCATTGTTTCTTTTTGCATTTCTTTTCCGCAGGTTTCAGCTGTACGTACAGCTGAAGCTGCTGCTGCACTTAGTTTCCGCTGTACGTACAGCCCGCGGGCGGGCCAGTGGACCACTGGTCACCTGTCTGCTGCTGCCCGCGGCGCAGTTTTTATGATTTCGCAGGTTGCTGTCCCGCGGGTTGCTGCTGCTGCAGCAGCAGCGGGGCTCTCTGCTGCAGCGGCAACAGCAGCAGCAGCACAGCAGCAGCAGCTGCTGCTGCTGCTGCAGCGCAGCTGCTGCTCCTTTCCCTGTAGGACCAACCGACGCCATAGCAAAAATCTCCCTCAGTGCTCGCAGCCCCGCAAATATCTTTCAACTTCAACTTTATTCGTCTCTAGGGCGCTGCGCATGCAAAAAGTAGCAGAAGAGAAGCAGCTTTGCTTTGGGCCTGTTGCTGGGGTGCTCGGGGTCCCCCGGGGGCCCCGGGGGTCCTCCGGGGGCCCTCGGGGGGTCCTTGGGGGGACCCCTGGGGGCTCCTGGGGCCCCGGGAGGCCCTTAGGGGGCCCCCTGGGGCCCCCTAAGGGCCCCCTGGGGCCCTGGGGGCCCCCAGGGGGTCTTTAGGGGGCCCCCAGGGGGCCCCCTAAAGACCCCCTGGGTGTCGCTGCTGAGCTGCAGCTGCCTTAGAAGTCGGACTTGTATATGTATTTCTAGTTTGTGTCTTTTGTCTGTTTGCAAACAGAAAAGAAATTGGATTTGATTTAAATACCATTAGTCCGAGAGGTAGCTGCAGTGTATGTACACCGGAGGCGGCAGTGTGCATGCTTCCGGTGTACGTACACGTAGGGAAGTCCTCCTAAAATTATTAATTTTCATTTGAAGTGCATTTAAATGCATGCGCCATTTTGCTTGCCACAATTTGCCTTTTTGTTGAAGCTTTGTGTCATAAAATGCATTAAATGCATTAAATGCATTAAATGCATCAAATGTATTTTCTTCATTTCTTAAATTCAAACTTGAATTTAAAAGATCTTTAAATAAAATATATCATATAGATATCATCCACTGTCTTCCGCATGCAAACCCTGTAGAATAACCTGTAGTGATAGACACATATATAAACGTATATATATACATTTCATTGTTAGGGTTTAGAGTCTAGGGTTTAGGGTTTACAGATAAAATCTAGGGTTTAGGGTTTAGGTTCACAGGTGCGAGTGCCTCGCAGCTCGCGTTCATTCGGCAGGCTTTTTAAATATTAAAAAAATTAGTTGTTTAAGATATTTGGGCGAAGGTGAAAACACAGCAGTTTTGAACTTAAGTGCAGCAGCAGTTGCTTTTAAATAGTTTTTGTCTTGGTGAGATTTTGGGGTTTTATTTGTCCTTCTGTTTCTTTGGAGCCTCAACAAAGCTACGAGAGGCCTGCTGCCTTCTGCTGCTGCTGAATTTGCTGCTGCGGGGCCCCAGAGCAGCAAAGAACTTTCTTTCTTTTGGGCGCAATGGAGGGCTTGCTGCAGTGGGGGATATTTTCTAAAAAAAAGAGTGTTCTTTGGGGAAGAAGAGGGTGAATTAAGAATAATTAATTAAAAATGGAATAAAATTAATAAGTTTTCATTAAATTAGGCAATTGTGTTCCCAGAGAACTTCGTAAAATGTGCAGATCTGTCTTCTTCTTAAGTTGCCCGGCCTGGTACGGGCACAGTGGACCAGTGGTGCACTGCAGCTCCCCGCGGCGACTGGGCGAAGTAGACAGCAAAAACGAAATAAATTTGCAAATTAGAATCGGTTTTTATTTATTTAAATAAATAGTTTTGCAAAAACTCAGAAAGCTGCACAGAAAACGAGAAGGCGGGCGAGCAGCAGCAGCACGCAAGGGTTCGGTGCGGGCGTGACCTTGCTCGAGAGCCACTGGAGGCTTGGCGGTGCGTGTAAATAGTGCAAAAGACGCTCTCTTTGATTCTCATCCGAATTAAATGGTGAACGTCTTTTAAAGAGCAAAGAAAAGGACAAAAAACGAGAAAAAAGACCCAAAAAGCAGCTCAGAGAGCTCACGCGCCGCCTCGCCCCCGCACTCAAGACCGCCCAGCAACCCCAGCTTCCCGCGGGCTTCTCCGGGTGTTTGCGCTTGCGGGGCGGCCCAGTTAATTGTTTTTATATTTTATTGAATAGTAATTGTATTATTATTCAATTTCGCCGTTTTGGACCCCAGGAGCCCTCAGATTGGTGAGTTAAATCCGCGCTTCAGCTCTCCCAGGAGGAGCCGCCGCTCGCCGCGGGTGCTGCAGTTAGTTCGGGCCTCTGTGTTGCACCTTTTTGCATTCTTTCTTTCTTTAATTCTTTATGGAGTTCAAAATTCGGAAATAGAATTTAATAAGTGTGGAAGCAGCCACGGAGTGGCCTTTCCCTCCGCCTGCAAGCCTTGTCTTGTGTTGTGCGTTTCTGCCGTTGCTGCTGCGCTCGGGTGTACGTACACCCGTGTATCTCCCCCTGCATGCATTTTTTACATTTGAACTTCAAGAGTGCACGGCTGTCCGTGCATTGGCTTTGAAAGGTCCGTTTTTGTTCATTTTTGCTCCCTTTTTGCTGCTGTGCGTGCAGAATTTGCCCCTGCTTCCCGCTGCAGTCCTCCCCCCGTATTCCGCGACAGCTGGAGGTTAGTTGAGCTGCTTTTGGCGCCAAGTTGGAGACAGAAGGAGCCACAATGCCGCGGCTGGGGGCGCCTTCTTGCAGCTGGAGAGCCGGCGTTGGGGCCGCGCTCAAAACTTCCATTTTTGTTGTCTTTTTGGCCCATGGCTCTCACGCTGTGGCCCGCAGCTTTTTGGGGGCAGCTCAGGGGCCCATGGAGCCCCCTGGGGCCAGCGCTGCGCAGCTGCATGCAGAGACTTCTGCTGCTGCCGCCGCTGCTGCTGAGACTGCTGCTGCTGCTGCTGCTCTTGATAAGCTGCAAACGACCAGTTTGGAGGAAGACGAGGCCGCAGCGTTTGCGGAGCTGCAGCAGCGGGTGGCTTCGGGGGCTGTTCCTGCTGTGCAGCTGGAGGGGGAAGTGAAAACAGCTTTTTTGGGATTTTTGCAAAAAGAAGAAAATAAAATAAAAGAACTCCAGAAGGCAGTATTAGCTGCTGAGGGTGGGGAGGGCGGTGCAGCGCTGCTTCAGACGGGCGCGGCGGCCGCGTCCAGCGCCAGCAGCGCGCAGCAGCAGCAGCAGCAGCAGCTGCAGCAGCAGCAGCAGCACGACGCCGACGAGCCCGAAGCAGATGAAGAAACACCTCCTAATGTAGAGGACGCTAAGGCCCTCTGGGATGAGACAAAGACAGCAGCAAGAGATCATTTCGAGGACTTAAAAGCAAAGTTAGGTGAGTGGAAAGAAAGGGGGCAGTCTGCAGCGCAGCAGCTAAAAATGGGGCTTAAAGGACTTTTTGGTAAAGCTAAAAAGAAGGCCAAAGCAGCAGCAGATAAGCTGGGGAAAAAGGTGAGAACCATTTTGAAAGATCTTTCAAAGACTGACGACGAAGTTCGAGAGGACCTCTTCGGCGATGGCATGCATGAGCCCCAAGACGCAGCAGCAGCAGCAGCAGCAGCAGAAGAAAGCGGCGACCTGCGCCTCGAGGACGCCCTAGGCCCCGACCAGCAGAAGCAGCAGCAGCCGCAGCAGGAAGACAGCGAGCAGCAGCAGCACAAGCAGCAGCCAGAGGGTCCGCAGCAGCAAGGGCAGCCTGAAGACTTCAAGCTAGAAGATGCGCTGTAGCCGCAGCAGTAGCCGACGAGCAGCAGCAGCTGCTGCATGTCCTACAGCAGTAGAAGCAGCAGCAGCGCCAGAAACGACCGTAGCACCAGAAGCACCAGCAGCGGCGCCAGCAGCTGATGCAGAAGTAGCAGCAGCAGCAACAGGAGCTACAACAGCAGCTGCTGCTGCAGAAGTAGCAGCAGCAGCAAAAGGAGCTTCGGCGGCTGCTGCTGCTGCAGAACTAGCGGCGGCAGCAGAAGTAGCTGCTGCAGCAGCTGCAACAGCAGCAGCTCCAGCTGACTGGACGCTTTCGGTGCAGCAGGAGGGTTCCCGTTAGTGTCTCTGGCGAAGGGGGAGGACGTAATAAATAAGCAAATAAACAAAATAAATTAATTTGTTTATTATTTGTTTATGTGTTGTTTGCTGCTATGAGGTGTGATGGGTTTGTCAGCGGCAAAGAGCTGCTGCTCCCGAGTGTACGTACAGCACAAGAGGCACTGGTGCAGCATAGAAACTGCATGCGGAGGACTTGAACATAAATATAAATGTATATATAAATCCAAATATAAATATAAAAACAAATATAAACATATATGTTAATATTGTGGATGTATATATAAATAATAATCTGCATATATACTGACGTCTATAACTACAAGTGTTCGTGTTGAGGTGTTGTATATAATGCGGAGGTGTACAGACTCTGCACGTGCATGCAAACTATGGGGTCGTGGATATATATATTTATATTTGTGTTTATGTTTATGTTTATTTATTATATTTAAGCACATTTATACACTCTAAAATATATATATCTGTAATCACCCGAGTTTGGGCCGTCGGATGCAACGGGTGGGCGTGCGGGTGCTGCGAACTTTCGTAGATATAAATAAGTAAATATGCAGAATAAATAATTTAAGTGTATAAATTCATGTTTATATTCATAATATTATATAAATGTGTCATCTACTGCATGCAAATGCAAAAGCGAAGTGGAAAAAGAAATTGAAAACGGCTGCAGCGACTGCTGGGGTGTACGTACACCCGAACATGCAATGCATGCGCCTCCGCCTCAAGATTGATCGGAGTTGAATTAGCCAGAGAAAATCCCGAAACAAGTAATCCTCGCGGTTATATAAATAGATATTTATTTATTTATATATTTATGATGTTTAATTAGGGGCTGCTGCTCCGGGGCTTCGGATTTCTTTAAAACTCAACTTTTTGGACTCAGCGTAATTTCCTAAACGGCGCTTTGTGGCCGCTAGGGGGCGAATGGCAGTCTAGCGGGAGTGCGTAACTATTTGTTTTTGAATTAAACAATTTTAATTGTTTATTTAATGTGTTTAATTCAAAAACAAATAGTTACTTATACCTTTTTGTTCATTTGGAACATTTTATCGATTTATTTAATAGATCCGAATAAATGATTGATTCTCCCAAACAGTCAATGCTGGCAATTAGCTGAACTTACTGGGATCGGAAAATATTTTATTATTGAGATTATGTTTATTTTCTTTGGTGTTGTAATTCTAAATTGATTAATTTCAACAAGTCAAATAATAGTTTGTCGCATAATTAGTAATAAATTTAAAAAAAGTCAAGGAATAGTTTATTACAGATTGATTTCACTAGGGGATTTCAGATCTTGCTGCTGCTGCTGGAGCATTTGCTGCTGCTGCTGCTGATGCTGCTGCTGCTGCTGCTGCTGCCGATACAGGCGATGCAATTCCTGTTGCTGCTGGTGCTGCAGTTAGTGGTGTGGTGTTGCTGCTGCTACTATAACTGCTTTTGGTCACTGCTGCTGCGACTGCTGCTGCTTCTGCCGCTGCTCCTGCCGCTGCCGCTGCTGCTGCTGCCGCTGCTGCTGCTGCTGCTTGTGGGAAGCTCTATGTTTAGGCGTGTCGTTAGACATTTGTGTGCAGCCGAATTATTTTTCGAAGTCTTCGAAATACAAATAAATAAATAATATTTATAGCGCACGTTAAAGTATATATATATATGATGCTTTTTCTAGACTTTAATTATTTAATATCTTTAATGTAGTACACCTTAAAGCATCCGCATTGCATATATATAGAATATTTCCTTTTTAAAACTAAATTATATAATTTTCTTAAATTCTGTATGTTCCAAACATTTATAGTCCATATTAATGTATACGCATTATATATATGTATAATTTATATATATATATACACATATGTACATATATATATATAATGTATACAGTATATATACAAATCTATTCGGCACATACAAAAACCTCCAGTGGATTCCAACAAATTAATTTGCATGCATGCAATCAGCCCTTATGAAACGGACATTGGGGTGTACGTACAGCCCACAAGCATAATAAGCAAGTGTGCTTCTAAACTGCAAGTGCACTGCATTTATATAAATGCGTTTATAAATGCATTTATAAATTCATTTATAAATGTATTTATATATATCTTTGTGCACAAATGCATTAAATATATACAAGTATATATATATACACCTAATTGTTTTAAGGGACCAAATGGGGGTATCTAAATCCGCAGAAGTGGAGTTAATAATAAAAGTAAAAAGAAAAGTAAAAAGGTCTTTTGGAGTTTTAGTTGTTTACACAAAAGTGACTTTTATGGATTGCTGCTGCTGCTCAATTGGCTGCTTTTAGCTGCCTATACACCCCAGCTCTGGGCTTCAGGTGTATGGACACCGGAGCTGCCTGGACACCGGAGCGGCGGCGGCGGCCTGGGGTCTTCATATTTGTGGATTTTTGTCGTTCTTGTTGGACTTTTAAAATTAAATGTTTTGTTTTCCCGCAGCAGTGAATGTTTTTGTTTTTTCTGTTTCTCGGGTGTACGTACACCTGAGCAGACGCTCGCTTTCGCCTTTTTGGTTTCGCCGCTTTGCGGTGTCTGTACACCTGAGGATCACTTGCCGGGGTTGGGGCGAAAGGACTCGAACTTGTAGGGGACGAAATCGAAAGCTTTTGCATTAAATTCTTTTTTCATTTCTTGAATAAGAGACTGCATGCGTTTTCTGTCTCTCTTGGGGGCCTCAGCGGGCCCCAAGTCCGCAGAAATGGAGTTAAAAAGGTGCAAATGGTTTGGGTGAATCTCGTAACGGGGGGCCCCCGAACCCTCACTTGTTATCAACAGTTGGGGGCCCCCAGGTCTGTTGCATTCTCTCATCAAGACGAACTCTTTAGCGCAGACGCTGCGATCGGGTTTCCTGCGCCACATGACCAGTGGTCACTTCAACCCCTTTTTCTCCCCAAATGCAGCTGCAAATGCTGCTTTAAATGCAGATTTAAATGCAGATTCAAGTGCCTTTTATGAGCCTCATTCAGCGCCTCTTTAAACGTGCAGTTTAAATGTTTTAAATGCCATTTTGACGCAAAAAAACTCGAAAGAACGAACGCAAAGTCAGGGCCACCGAGTGTACGTACACCTCAAATGTGCAAGTACTGATGCGGGTTCTGCAGATGAATTTAAAAATAAAATTAAATTAAATAAAAACATATAAATTATCTGTCGATGTTTACTCATATTCTGAGATTTAAATAATTTAAATGGACAAACCTGAAGTTTAAAAATTCAAATAAAACAAAACAAACAAATATATTGGTGTTACACGGAAAGAGGGGCAAATGAAAGCAAAACGAAAAATAAATAAAAATAAATTTAGGAGAATTAAAATAAAACGAAGAACATACAAATGAATTAAAACAAAATAAACAAACGAAAGAACAATTTGAAAGAATTACACGAAAATAAATAAATAAATGAATAAATTTAAATAAATTTTAGAAAATGAAAATTCTCACCTCGCGCAGTTCATCAAATTTTGGGTCTCGTTGATGCAGTAAGAGACTTTTAAGCTGCATACAAATAAAAAGAAATAAAACATTTTAATTTATTTCATTTCATTTTATTTCATTTTATTTACTTAATTTAATTTAATTCAATCTAATTCATATAACTTACTTTATTTAATTGTTTGTTTATTTGGTTTGCTTTTGTTTCATTCATATCTCTTCTGCCCCAAACTCAAGACTCAAACCCTAAACCCTAAACCCTAAACCCTACACCCTCGGCCTAAACATCACAGAGACCCAACAACCTCCGTATTATATATTTAAATGTAAATGCAAATAAATCAGCAACGCATGCATATATTTATACGTGTATATTTATTTATTTATTTATTTATTTATTTTTTATTTGTTGAAACAAAAAACATTCTTACGGGGGCAGGCAAACACAGGTTAACTTACAAAATAAAAAATAAAAAAAAAAGAAAATAGAAAAAGAAAATAAAAAATAGAATAAAATAAAAAGTAAATAAAGACAAACCCTAATTAGAGTCTTGTTGTTAATCAGTTGAATTTCATTTTTTGAATTTGTTAAAAATCCTAAAAGGGGTTTTTGAAATAAATGACACAAATTGAATTTTTATTTTTAATTCCATTTCCTCCATTTAATTCAAAACTATTCTTGAATTAGAAATATGATTCAAAACAATTAAAAGTGCTTCTTGAATAAAATGGGGCGAATTGAATTAAAAAGAAAATGCAAAAGAGCCATTTAAACTTAAAACACTTTTTGAATTAAACAGAGGAATTTGAAATAAAGAAAATGCAAAACAAAGACTTTAGTAAAATGGCGCAAACGAAATACCTTTTCTCGCAAGAACGGAGAGAGGGAAGAAACTCTTGGCACTTTTGCGGGTTTCTGTTGGAGCCGCTGAGACAAAGTTTGTAATCATTATAAACTGAAGTGCAGGAGGCCTGCAGCTGCTGGTCGCGGCTCATTTTCGCGTATTCCGCGGTGTACGTACACCCCAGCGCAGCAGCGGCAGCAGCGGTGGCTGCAGCACAGGCAGCAGCGGCGGGAGGGCTAGACCTCGGTCTTTTCGCTTTTCGCTGCGCCCCAGAGGCCCCTTTTTGCAAATAATTTGCAGAAATATCCAAAAAATGAAGATTTTAACCGTGAAAACGGTCCAAACAGCTGCCTATACACCCCAAGTTTGCG